ACTTTCAGGTCTATTATTCGGAGACGAGATCCCGATATGAGGGCCGTGATAGCTCGGTATACGGATGCTCTCTTTTAATTCAATATACTCGAGCAACCTGAGCTCAAACCTCGGCACCGAAGTCTGCCAATCCCCAGTGAAGTTGCGTGGAGGACTATGCCATAATACCCTCTGTACAAAGCAGCAGAGGGACATACATAGGCTGATACTTTACCTTTTTTATCCCCATATCATTTTGAAACAGAACTTTGGGTTCAAAATTCTTTGTAGGATTATAGTTTAAAATTTTAAACCTAATCAATTCGGTTTTGTAAGAACCTCTGGTACGGTAAACGTTAGCCAATTCGCACAACATAAAGCATATAAAAGAAGGTTGTTCTTGACCGTTAGCAATCGAGCGATATACATTTATCAGGGGCTTAGTTTAATTAAGTAGATGTTGGAACAAATCGCCCCAATATATAATATCGCGCTCGGCCAACGCTTGCGTCACACGTTTTCCAATAAAACCGTACGATTGATACACTCGGCCTTAATGGCATACGTGACAAAACAACTCTAAGGACATCACCAACCCATCCATCAGGGCCATTTATCACGTGCGACTTGATACGAGCAACTTGTCCTCTAGCGCTTCCGCTTGGATTTTTATAAGGCATATTTATACTGACGATAGAGGTAGCAAATGTTAAAAGGAACAAAACAATCTTCGATTGAAAATCCAGAAAATTCTTATCTAAACGAAGTGAACGCTTTCGAGCAATCAAGGTTCACTAGGAGCAGAACTTGTTGAATAAGGCTGAACACTCTTCCATAGTATACATAGCTATGAAGAACCAACGTTAGTATAAATGAAGAAAACCCCGAAAGAACGCAATGAGGCAATGCAACCACGTGATGTTCACTTTATGTTACTTCTATGTGAACATGGTGTAGACTATCTCTCCAAATCACAATCCGAAAAGAACCAACGTTAAAATTTATACCACATCAAATCAATCAGCGGAGAAAACCCTATAAAAAGTAGGGACAACGCTTTAAACTTGTATAGCCCTTACGAATGTGGGAAGAAGAGTGGCGAACGGCACGCCACGTGTGGAAACCTCTATTAGCCCGCATCGTCCACGATTGGCAGGCCAGATTTGAGCCTATCCATTCTGCTTCTTCGGCTGAAGCCGTGAAGAATAGTCCTAACGCTTATGATTTATCTCTCTGGAATGATATGCGTACATTAATATTTCTGCAACTGTGGTAGGGCCACGCAGCAGCGTCGGCTGTTGCACGAATGGGCAGGCCCGTCCGGGTAAGTACCACGACCTCACAGAAGACCGGCGTCAAGCGGAAGTATATTTACTTTCCCGTTTCGTCTGGTGAGTGAGGTAGCCGGAGCCCAATTTTCAAAAGGTTGTCGACATCTGCAACCTTCGGGTGTAGCTGATGTCCATGGGCGGCGGTATTCACTTAACATCAGGTGAACCGACTGCTCGTTTGACAACTTTTCACATTAAAAAAAAACTGGGACAGGCCGGCTCAAATACTATAAGCATATAAATAGGATATCTATCTTTTGATAAAATAAATGTCTTAAACCTTATATATATAAAAAAAATATTATAGGTTCTCGCTAGCATGCGATAAAACTTATACATTGACCTTAACATAGACCTAAATATACTTTCAATCATGATCAATATTAAATAAATGGAAGTCATACGACTCCGTTGTTTTTATTTAGAGTGAGTTTGCATAAACCAGTAGTTAAACGCGTCCTAAACATGGGTTTAAAACGTAATGACTTAATTGATATATAATACATATTACCATGAATGTGCGAAGCTCATTGTGCGCAAGTAACGGATATTGAATGAAATTTTAATAACTACTGGCAACTTATCGTAGAATTTTTCAATTAATTCAAATCTCACCTAATTTTCAGTGATTACCGCCACCCAGGAACATCTGAAGTACCAGAGGAGCACATGCAATCGATATATGCGATAGTATAATACAATAATCACTTCGGTATTCAAGTAAGGGCGAACGATCCTACTCATTCGTGAAACAACAGAGGCTTTTTCCAAATTATTATCACTGGTGGACTCCAAAAAGTTCCAAATCATTAATTTCACTAAAACATATAAATAATTATTATAATTTTCATTACAAATATATTTAAAATTTAATGCTAACACTACTATAATCTTGACAACTACAAAAATTTTATAAAACAAAAAATAGACCATCGCCTAACGAAAATCGAATTGAACTTAGTATTCGGAAATAATGGCTACAAAATGTCAACAGTAAAAAGTCACGTCGATAATTTTTACGACTCTGAATCAATTAATTACGTCAAGGAAGCAACGTAAATCTAAAACGTTATTAGCATACTAGTGTGTGACCTTTTCTTGGCCAAAACAATAATGCATGACCGTACGGAATCAATAAAACAACTAGACTTAAGTAGCCGCTTGTATTTTTACTCTTTGCGTTTGATCACACCAATTGTCAGTTTAACATTATTTATAATCAATACACATATATGAATTAAACATGAGGTAGTAACATTTCATCGCACCGTTCAAATCGAGCCGGCTTCATCGTGCATTATCTTAAGGTGTATGGTTATGCTAATGTTCCTCATTTATCACTGGCTTATATTTTTATTAAAAAATCGAACGTCATTAAATGACAATAAACAGATGTATTTAAACGATATTATCATATTAATCTAAAGAAAACGAAATTTATGCCACCGAATCTAAATGAGATGGCTGGGTAACAGTATCCTCCTGTTATTAGCAAAGATCAGATTAGAGACATAAAATTTAAGATCTGACATAGCGTGTGCCATCAATGTAATTAATATAACATTAAACCAAGAAATTTTCGATAAGGTCCGTGATTCTCGACGGATGGAAGACATGACAGAAGACTTTAAACGTTATGAAATCGTCAGATGTACAGATTATTCCGCAAAGTAAAAATAAACTCACAGTAAACTTGATAATTTCTTATATTGGTGCGAATACTCCCCTGCAAAGCGTCGAAACGTCGGAAGTTAAAATTGAAAATTGAGGCGATAAATCATTTAGTGAAAAAAATAGATTATTAGCGATAAACAATTTAGTAAAAAATTCATTTAGTAATACGCAGTAAAGTATTTGACCACTTGGTAGGACAAAGTGATAAAAAAGAAGGAGCCTCAATGGAGGAAAATTATGAGAAACTAGTTTGTTTTAATTTATAGACCAGTCTCGTTTGTCAGCGCAGCCTGTTGCGCGCCTAGACTCAAGTTCTACTACGACTTCTAATCTATTGCAATTTGAGGTCATCCACAGTTGATTATCCTTGGACCGCATAACCCACTATTACTATGTGATAATTATTTAAAGATTTTAATCGAACATGAGAACACGACATGAGGTGATAGTTACAAATTAGATGCCAAATAAATCAATCTAAAATCTATTAAACAAATATTTTCACAAGATCGAAATTTATTCATGCAAATAATTATTATAAGTCGAATGAAATTAAACAAACAATTTCTTCTATTTATTTTTAAATCTCGATTCTTACTTTTGTGTTATTTACATTTCTCATGTATAATTTAGAAATTTGAAACTCTAACAGATTAATTAAATCAAGAATCTGCATGACTACTTCGGCTACGATTGAATACTTTTAGATTTTATTGCAACAGAAATCTGCAATCCTATCGAAAACGAGATTTAGCCAGATAGTGAAAAATATTCCAAACATTACAATATAAACCGAAATCGTTCACTTTTAACTGAATAATATTCAAAGGGGATTGGAGTGATTTAGGCGTACGTAATGTATGCCTCGATTGAATGCAGTTAATGTAACATTCAATGGACTCACGTGAGCCACTATTACATGGAGGGTTTCAGCCGTCGTGAATGCGTGGGGCAGCGGAAAATCATTTCCAGCGAAAATGCGGGTTATTGTGATATCGGCCACCAGTCGCCCACGCATACGTCCCGTTCCATAGCCGAATGCACCTGAGGCTGGATTCAGTGAGTGACTGTCTAGGCGGGAAGTGTTTGCGACACTAATTACATTTTGCAATGTAGTTACATAACCGCTCGGAGGAAACAAAAAAGTTCAATAATGTCAGCAGACGGGAAACAGAAATCGTGGCTTTCGAATTAGGCGTGTTGCAAAACGAGATCCTTTTTTTACTAATACTTTTTTGTCATATCAATCAAACTCGTTTTATGTTATTAATCAGGTCTTCCGTATAATGATAGTAAGTGTTCAGGCTTACACGCGGCAACTCCTCAAAAAGTCTGTCGAACATGCGCTACAACAATTAGAATTTGCAGTGTTATAGAAAAAGGCAACTGTTCCTGATTTAACTTAATTGTCATAATTTAATTTATGATATCTGACACATAATCGTAAAACATTAATAAAAGTATTTTATGATCAGAATCATAATAAACATTTACTAGTGCATTAAATCATCCGATGACCCGTTGGGGTTAAAGTTTGAAGATATTAATTTTTGCGAAACCGACACGGCGCTGAGCGTAAGTGACTCTGTATAAATCATTGGTTGAATTTCTACAAGAAAAATATCGAAACGACGAAGCGGTACCGGTTCTAGATTGTCACTATAAATTTGAATATTGATAGTGTTGTGAACTTTTGCTACATTCGGCTAACGAGCGGGCGCACTAAGAAAGCAATATCAGTATATCACGGCGCTCATCCGCGTTTTGGACACCGCATTCAATGAAAACTTTAAAATGTACACAGCGACGGCGATGGAGTCGCTTCGTGCTTATTCCTGCTGCGTGCTACTTTGTTTATTCCTAATTTAATGCATTTATTTATTTTATAGTTTCTCCACCTTAGCTTTTTATGTAACAAGTTCACCACGTTCCGAACTAGCGGAGCTTAATGAAAACAAATAAAGTTTTCTTATGATCGGCGAGTTCGTGTTAGCTATGAAATGAGTAATATCGCTACGCATGCGAGTGTGGAGTACAATGAAGCGGAACGTTCCACGCCAGTGGTCGCGCCACGTCCTGGGCGGTGCAGTGCAGTGCTTTGGAGCTCAACACACCCAACCCAGCCACGTTTTTACCGCAGCCGCCGCCCGCGCTCGCTGTGGCCACTCCACGGCTCGCCGGAACCCACAAAAACGTGTTCCACTCATTATGAAACACGGAGCTATGATATTTCAAGTCGCCTTGCCGTTCGTACGACAAACGACCTTAGCGTTGCGCAGCCGACGCGGAGACCAATAAATTTACGCTTTACTGTTATCTATAAACAACCTTCAGCTAGAAGCCGGACCGGTATTGAGGCGAAACTATTCTAATAAAAAACCAAAACCAGTCCAAATTAAAGATAAGATGGTGGAAATGTTGGAGGAATTAAAGAAACACGCTGCCAACGAGTCGCGTAGGTGTGTCGGCTGCGGTGTGCCATATGTATGTATCTACGTCGTGCGACGGATGGACTAACGCTCACTCCGTGGACGAGTCTTTGCCACTGACGGCGATCGCTCCGACTTGATGTATCGGTGTCGTTTCAAAGTAATCACCTGTCAATGTATTATTATGAAGCGGTCTGCAGGCCTCCCTTATCAGTTTCCAAAGTTCAACACGTACGCGCCTGTGTTGCTCCATAAGACTTGTAATTCGTAGCACACAAAGAAAATCACTTCACTCAACCATCGAAGTGTATCTAATTATAATTAAATTATACGGATACTCTTATTTACTCATTTGTCAGCAGATAAGATTTCTCCAATGAGAAACAATAAAAAGTTAATGCAATGTTCTGGAATCGTAGTATTGAATTTAACAGGGTTATCGCACCGGTATTGGTAATAGAAGAAAATATTGGTTTGTTAATTTCTCATCTAACAGATCCGCTTCGATAGTTTCTGATAACCAGTTATTATTACATTATTGCAATGTACCGTTTATAGTCACTTTTTAACAGATTTTGATTTACCTATGCAACATAAATTATGAAACGTTAATTAGTATCTTTTCGCTTATAAAACTACACGAGAAAACTAGAACTGTTGCAACACTGTATACAACCTCTAAGTTCTAAACACAATATAGCACTAATTAAAATCTACAATCACTAGTCCTTCCAAATCATTGATAATGTGGTATAAAATAATTTCAGTGTCCAAACTAAACTACCCAGGAAATTGTTGAAATAAAAATTCTATATATTCAAAAGTCAAAGCCCGCGATGAGGAGAGCCTTATTTTATCCACTATCTAACGATGATTTGAAATCACAGTGACAGTTATAAACGAGTGTTCAAGTCGCTCTGAGATAATTGTTATCTTTAACTACTTCTACAAAACTTTCCACGGAACTATTTAACGAGGAAATATCTTGAAGGAGGATTTATATTTTATTGCTCTCGGATACGATATTCTTAATCTAACTCTTACACATGAGAGTATTTGGGTCAACTAGAAAAGCCAGGATGTAGCTGACAAACCGATAAAATAAAACAAATAACAGTAACATTAGGTTGAAGTATACTATAAAACGAGTTGAAATTATAAAATGACAAATGTAAGAACCACAAGTAAGAAATAATAATGATTAATGTATATTATCCCAATTTGTATAAACTCGGCCCCTGTAGACTACAGACGATATAAACAATTACCTATATGTACTTTGAATCTTCCGCCTCTCCAGTTACAGAATTGTAAATCAGGTGATGTAACAGCGTTAAATATCGCCAGGAAAGTGTTATCCAACCGCCGCTATCCGAACAATTAGCTGAACATCGGAGATAATTGAGTATGCAGGAGCGATTAACAATGAGCGAAACGATAATAGTGATGGTCACGGCATTAGCTTCCCACCGCGATGCCGCCTCATTACCGGCCGCGGGCCGAGGCGCGATCTCGCAATTATCTCACACCGCTTTGAGCAATCGGCCCCACCCTGTACCGATCGCAATTAGCAAAATTAGCAACGTGCACGAAACACCGAAACACAAAGGTCGCAACCGAAACTGCGACTGTTACACCTTGGCTAAACATGAGTTCTTTAGCCTTCTCCGATACTGATTCTAATCATTATATTTGGTGTCCAATTTGAGGTAGTGGTCGAAATTCTTTAAACAAGATAACTTTAACAACTTTAGTCTTTTTAATACGAAATTTTCTAGTTTTCAGAGATAACTTCTGTAAAATAAGACACTTTAAATCGTACTATTTACACTGCCTGCTTGCTATGCAAACCGATATAATGTAATTGTTCTCGGTAAATATGTTTAAAAATTCATGCACTCTATTATGCAAATGAACAGTCATACTGTTTACGATTAACATCTTTTAGTCCAATTACTTATAATAAAGCATTTTTATATTTTCGTTAAACGCATTTTGTTTGAGAAAACAAAATTAACAGTAGTGACCTCTTTGCTGACCACTGCGCGGACGTGGCGAGTAAAAACGCAATATTTTTCCCACCGTTCATGACCGTCTGCCATAAACAATCGCCTATCGTTACGCGATTCTACATCGATTCACTGTTTCAGAAAAAAACACCTTCCTCATATTAATTACTACGTCAAGGGTTAAGTTATATTTCACAATCTAATTGTTGCTAAGTACAAAAACAAGCAGTGGAGTTTTTGCTTGTTCCTTTTTTTATCTTTATTGTTCGATATAAGCTTGTGATAGTTTTATATAATTTTATTGAAGACGAATTAAATTCTGCCACAAAAGACCCAATTATTTCCCTGTTTTGCGTATGATCGGTGGACAAATTATTTGATCAGAAGTCACGCACTTTTTGATAACATTTTGTTGAAGTAAAAAATTTATTTCTTTTTAAATTAATTTTTTTAATATTAACTTACTCAATCTCTTTTGCAATTTTGCTGCTTTTTCAATGACTAAAAATTAACAATTAACTCTAAACCTTGATGCGATCTTTCATGTGGTGAAATATCGCATTTAGTTTAAAAGAAGAACGAAAACTTCTTCATTTAGTATCGCATGATGATGATAGCCTAAGCACTGTTATTGACCGTTACAGTATTCCACTGATCATAACTGGACATGAAATGAAATGTTGGCCTTTACAAGTGTAGTAAGTCTAGTAAGTAGTATTTCGCGGGACCGTGAAAGTGTGAGGCCCCCAGACGGCAACGAAGAGGAATCACGGGGCACGCTCGTAAATTCGGATTAGAGGATATCTCGCGCATCGATTTGCGGCCGCATCAAATATTGAGGTGTCGAGGCGCGCGCTTACGAGGCGCCTGGGATGCATCACGCCACGAATATGCTTTACGGCCGCCTTCGCCCCGCACCCTCATAAACTATGAATTCGCCCAATCGCAGTCAGGTGCGATTTATTATCCGATCGCTGGCCTTCCCTACCACCAGACTTGACACCATCCTCGCAAATTATCTCGCTGCATTATTTACGGGATAACTAATGCAGATTCGTACGCGCCGCGTTACGCTTACTTTGTATTTTTCCTTTCCCGGTATTAGAAATTAATAATTCAATCGATTGTAATAATGCAATATCGATTATAATCAATTCACGGCGTCTACGATAGCTGTAACAAATCATCGTTTACGGCATAAGCTGTCTAAAGGGTGACAATAAGTCGGGCTCTTCAAACAAAAGTTCTGTACTTGACACTGTTTCTATGATGAAGGAATGACGCAAATGATATCGCAGGAGGATGCTGTCCTTCCTTGTAAATGCTAATCGCATTCATCTAACATCGTGACCATAAGCGTTTCTTACATCCGCAACAACTGTAAAAAATCAAAATAATTTGTTGTTCGCTTGGTTCCACTTAAAAGTCGATCGTTTATGGGTTAAATCCAACAAAAGTCCAAGCACGCTAGCAATGGCAATAGCATCCTAATAGCTCGGTATAGCATCCTAACGGTATCATAAGCGAAGTTTCACGAGAGATTTACGGCCGAAAGGCGAGTCGTAAATCAGTCGTATTAACGATATGGAAGCAATTAGGCACGTTACTTATCAGTTTTTTCGGGCACAATCGTAAAATTTGAAAATTTTATTCTCATCCGATAGAGATTTCTTTTTTCGCTATTCGCTTCAGACTTAAGAGTCGTTTGAATCCAGCGATCGCTTAAATGTTACATGCTATTCAAAGATAAGGAGATCGAGTGAAAGCGTGTTTGTTGACACGTAACAATTTTTATTAAACATTCAAATTAAATTGAACGAGTGTTCTAGTGTAATTTAATAATACCAAATTGTGTATGGTAGCCGAGGGTTTAATCTCACTTGTTACTATTTCTGCAAGAAGTTTTCTGATTTTCAAAGCGCTTACTTTTAAAAGTTGTAATCTCACTTTATAGTTCGAGTTTGAGGTCAAATCCCATTGGTTTATATGATCGCAGTAAGCGACGTTTACCACATACACTTATTAAAATGACGGAAAAATCGCATAATTTTTTTATACATTCCATTAGAACCACCACACAGTTACGTTACATAGCAAAGAAAAAAACTATGAAGAATATTTTACAACAATATTTACCATGTAAAATGAAATAAGTACACTTATAAATAACTTTTAACTGTCCGTTCGCATTTACAGCGCAATAAACCTAAAAAGATATGAAATAACGAAAACTAAGAGCATTCCACCGTAAGGAGATACGCGTAACACACGATCCGGTATAGCTCCGACAGTTTCAACGCGAAAGGTGCAAAATTGTTACTAGCAATGTAATGAAGCGAACAACTGGTTATTTAAATGAAACGTTAATTAAAACATGTAAATTGCAGAGAACTCTTTATAAGGCAACCGCTATGCATATTGAGCTCGACGCACGCCCACATTTTAAGTGAAAAAGAAAATGCTAACCGCGCGTTCGACTCCCGGGCTCGGTGATCCGTCCAGTTTGCAATAGCGACATGAGCCGAGGGAGAAATATCACACAGGTATCGACCTCAACCGCTAAACATAAATTCTTATTATGAAACATTATTTGTACATACGTATGTCATCTTTAAGGCATTGCGAATGTTAAAATATTCTCTTAGTAATTTTTAAGTGTTACAAGGTACCTTCTATATTTAGTCATAAGATAACATACGTGAAAGTGAAAAATATAAGAAATTAAGCTGAAAAATATGGAGCCAAAACCTGTTTTCTTTAATATCATCATGTACAGTAGTCCTATTTTTTCCTTCAAACTTATTTTTAGAAATTTGAAAATTTTAGTTAGTTTGCTTATAACGTTGAAAGCTGAATCTTTGGATGGGTTACACAACGGAGAGTGTTGAAATTTCATACTCACATCACTATTTCTAGTGACGCGCTACTTGCCGGGACCTAGCGCGAGTCTTGAGTGCGGTTAAATAAGGCATAAAAGGTTACGATCGCCCGTGTTACCGAATTGGAGGGCGCATGAGGAATGTCTCGCCGCGCCACGCCGCGGGGAGACGCATGCTTAATGAGTGCACGTCTCCTCACTGGCAATCACTTACCGTCCGTCCGTGTGTCCCGGATTGATTTAACACCCGGCGGATTTAGTTGCCTTACCTTTATGGTCGTTGGAGGCGGTTAGAGTTTTATCTCGGCCGTAATTTGCCCCGGAGAATCTAACACTCCCAGTAATTATTGCGTAAATTAGTCTGTGTAGTGGTTTTATACCGTGTCATCAACTTTTATTTTTATTGCCCATTCCCTCCCTTTCCACGTCGTGAGAGCTCATTGAGAACTAATTAAATTTCTTAATTCTTACACTGAGTTGTGGAAGCAGTTCTTTTCATGTGAGGATTAAGCAAGCGAGGTGACGATTCACCTGATATTAAGTTGATACGGTGACCCGTGGACATTTGCAACACCCGTATGATTGCAGAAGTGGATCCCGGTTACCTCACTCACCTCTGGTACTCCACTGCACACCGGTCTGGTACTACGGTGAGGTCGTGGTACTTCCTCAGACGGGCCTGACCATTCTTTCAACAGTAAAAAGTTTCGTGGCCCCACAGTTGCTTATGGCTTGATTTAATTGAAGTTCACAACAAACATGGTGAAACTGGCATGAGCTATAAATCATCACGTCACTTACCCGAAAAAATAGGAGTGTTCACCACAAACCAAAGCCTTTTTAATAATTTTAAAAAAGACTATGCATACATTTAAAAAAAACTTGTAGATAAAATTATAAATTCATAACAATACATCTGAACATGGAATTAAAATATTATGGAATCGTGCCCGTTTCCTAGGCGTCTCATCTAAAGAATCGAGTTATTGGCTTCATGCTTTATCAGGTAACATCCAGTAACTTGGGCACATTACTTGACGATGAAAGCTTACGCATTGCTGTAGGAATCTGTCTGGGGGCACCGATTTGTCAACCACACCAATGCCCTTGTGGTGTCAGTGTAGACAAATTTGGTGTCCACGGGCTTTCTTGTCAAAAAAGTGCTGGTCGCTTTTCACGCCACGGTTCTCTGAACGACTTCATCCGTAGGGCTCTTGTTTCCATCAATGTTCCATCTATTTTGAGACGTAAGAGTAAGAGACCCAACGGTTTAAGTTTGATCTCTTGGGAAAGAGGCAAAGCCCTTGTTTGGGACGCCACTTTGTAGACACTTTGGCTGCCTCTCATCTAAGGGGTACTTCGGTCAGGGCCGGGGCGGCATCGGAGGCAGCTGAAGTAAGTAAATGGCGCAAATACGAGTCTTTATGTTTAGATTATGTATTTGTGCCATTTTCTGTTGAAACTTTAGGTCCGTAGGGTCCATGCACATCAATTTTTTTAAAGTTTATGTGCTAGGCTTAACGCCGCGGCTGGTGACAAGAGAGCTGGTTCTTTTCTCGCTCAAAGGTTAAGCATAACTATTCAGCGAGGAAATGCAGCTAGCATTCTTGGCACGATGCCGCGTGGATTAGGTTTATTAGATAATATGTAATTTTAGATACATTAAATCTTGTAAATATTATATCAATAAACTGTATGTAAATATAAAAAAAATTAAAATATTAGTTGTCCAATTTTCTTTTTACATCTTCAGGTTATAAGGCATTATTTTATTTTATCACTAGCCT